TGCAACAATATACCAAATGATTTATATCTATTTTAAAATATTTAAATTTTTACAATAAATAAATAAATATAATTATGCTGATCTGATTAACCCAACCCGTTCATAATTAAATTGGGTTTGATTATATATTTTTTTTAAATTACACAAATTCGATCTAACCCAACCCGTTAATTTTTTATTGGGTTGGATAACGAATTTATCCGAATCCAGCCCAACCCAACCCATTTACACCCCTAAAAATTATTGTACTAATACTATGAGTATAAAAAAATAAAGATGGAGCATATATATATATAGTGGGAGGAAGTGGTTCTTGTTAGTTAAAGAGGCTTAAGGAAGATCACAAAAACAATGTGTACATCAATCCATGTGGTTGCCCTCTTACTTGTTCTTACAATGTGGTCGAGTTTTGCCAATTCTTGTGAAACTTGTCTCACTCCATCTATGATCCACTACTCAAACAACACAGAAATGAAAATAGTCGTCATTACCATTACGAGTGGTATGTCTCATAGCGACCCACCACTGTTTTACTTTTTCAACAATGAAGAAACTCAAACCTATTTGGAACCTGGGAAATCTTTCGTCAAATTTACCAATTTTGATCGCAAAATCATTTTAATGTATTGGGACGTATTGTGTGCTATTTTCTATGCATATGATCCTAGCTCAGAAGGAGACCACCAAAGGATCTATTGGTTAGTGAATCCAGAAGGTGTGTTTCATAGTTGGGATAACAAAAGTTGGGAGAAAAGAAAATCTTGGAATTCCAATAATTGTTTATAGTTTCACTTTCACAACTCAAATAATGACAATACTTCAAGTTTCAGTATTTATTACCAATAAATAAATGATATGACTGACTAGTTTCCTTATTGATGATTGCTTCTTTCTATTGCATCACCAAGTTAAATTTATGAAAATAATGATCATAATAATTTACTTTCGTCAAAACCTTGACTCACTGTCTCAAACTTTTTCTTTTAGTCGTTTTTTTTTCGTCTACAAAGTTCATATGAGATCATGCTTAATTGTATCAGGATTCAATTTTTAGACTCTGTACATTCTACTCCAATCGCTCATTACTAAACTTATCCTAATAATTTACTCTCTTGTTTAAATGTTGCTTGATTAATTATTTCTCTTGCAAAAGAGTAGGGGAATAAGTTCCTCAAATATTTTACAAATTAGATAATAAAATCTTGTATATATTACTCCAATCCCCATCACTATGTATCAATTTTATGTTGATAATAGTCTAAATTATATGCAATAATAATATCCATAATAAATGTATAAAAGTTTGATTTTATAGGAATAAAATTAAACATACACATAAATTTTAATATAATTATAGTTCAAATTGCTCATAATAATTAGTGACAGATCTAGAAAATTTGTTAACTGGGGCAATAAAATATTGTATAATAAATTTTATTAAAAAAATATAATAATTTTTTAGATAAAGTATATTTTTGTAATAAAAAATTTAATATACCTATTTTTTTATAAATTAAAATTTTCTTATAAATAGAGTAACAATTTCTTTTCCATCTTTTTTCTATCTGGTATTATATTTAAGTGTGACTTTGAAATTTTTAGTGACTTATTTAATATTAGAAGAACAAAGTGATATAAATTATCAAGATAAAGATAATATAAATACTATTTGTTTTCTTTTGCATCTCTTCTAAATTTCTATGTTCATTTAAAACAAAAATATTTTGAGAACAACGCCTATTTTTTTATAAGATAAATTTATCTTTTATTAAATATGTTTAAGTAAAAAAATAAAAATTTTGTATAACAATTACTCTCATTCATATTATTTTGGATCCTTTCCTAACAATATACTATGATCATATACAAGATCAAAAGGATTAAAAACTAAAATAAAAATTGAAAAATAACCTATATTTGTAAACTAAGTTATGACATTTTAATGAATAAAGAAGTAATAAATCTTTTAGTCAAAAAATAAAATATATTATAATAATAATAATAAAATTAAGACAATTTTGTCACAAAGTGAAAGAAATTACACAATAGAATAAAATATAAATAAAATATTAATATATTTTAACATATTAGATATAAAAAAGTAATTATTACAAAAAATGTTATATATAGTCACATACAAAAAGTGTCGCTGTAGTCTATATTTACATTTTTTAACAATATATCAACATATATTATATCTATAATATCTATAAAAATAATTTCTAGTGACAAATATCATGTCTTATAAAATGTGTGTCATTACTTAATGATTTTTTGTAATAAATTAAAATATAATATATATATATATATAAATGAGAAAGAGTAAAATTTTAGTGGGGTAACTACCCTCACTCCCACATACATGGGTTCGTCCCTGTAATTTACACTAATATACAAAAGGGATATTTTTTTTT